TGGTAATTCCCATTATATGTATGTTGGTACATTGGTATTATAAGTTATATATACATTGGTATATATAACTCTTGGGCTCTGTCCTTTTTTTGTTTCTCAGGGTATTGCCAATTGATTCATCTTCAAGTTTGCAGCTTTTTTCTTCCCCCAGCAAAAATTTGTTGTTGAGCCCTCTTGTGAAATTTTTTAAAAGGTTTTATTTTTTTAGGTAATCTCTATACCAACATGGGGCTTGAACCCACAACCCAGAGATCAAAAGTTGCATGCTCTACTGACCAAGCCAGCCAGATGCCCTATCTAGTGAATTTCTTTCTTTCTTTCTTTTTTTCTTTTTAAAGATTTTAGACAGAGATCACAAGTAGGCAGAGAGGCAGGCAGAGAGAGAGAGAGAAGCAGTCTCCCCGCTGAGCAAAGAGCTGGATGCGGGGCTTGATCCCAGGACCCTGAGATCATGACCTGAGCCGAAGGCAGTGGGTTAACCCGCTGAGCCATCCAGGCACCCCTCTAGTGAATTTCTTATTTCAGTTTTTATACTTTTCATTTTTAGAACTTCTCTATGATTCTTATTTTTTTCTGTTTCTTCATTGATATTCTCTATTTGGTGATACATTGTTCTTATATTTTCCTTTAATTCTTTAGAAGTAATTTCCTCTAGTTCTTCCAACATATTTATAATAGTTGATTTTAAGTATTCATCTATTTTTTTTTAAAAGATTTTATTTATTTATTTGTCAGAGAGAGAGAGGGAGAGAGAGCAAGCAAGCACAGGCAGACAGAATGGCAGGCAGAGGCAGAGGGAGAAGCAGGCTCCCTGCTGAGCAAGGAGCCCGATGCGGGACTCGATCCCAGGACACTGGGATCACGACCCGAGCCGAAGGCAGCTGCTTAACCAACTGAGCCACCCAGGCGTCCCTTAAGTATTCATCTATTAAGTTCAGTGTCTGGGCTTCCTTTAAGGATAGTTTCCGTTGACTAATTTTTTTTCTCTCTGTATGGGCCATATTTTCTTGTTTTTTACATGTGTAATTTTTTTATACTTGACCAGCTGAAACTGGTCATTTACAATAATCTGTTGTGACAACTTTGGAAATCCTGTTTGCTCTCTCTTCACATTTGTTGTTGGTGGTGGTGGTTGTTTTTGTTGTTCCTTGCTTAAGTGATTTTCCTGAACTAATTGCATATAGTCTGTATTTTTATTTTTATTTTTTTTATGTGTATGACTACTGAAGTCTCTGTTTGGTTAACTTAGTGTTCAGCTAATGATTAGACAGAGATTTCCTTGAATGCCTTTAACCAGTAAATCTCGTAGCCTTTGGTGAAGGGCTGTCTGGGTATGTTGAGGAATGTTTTCGGTGTTCTAGCAGACAGTTTTTACACCGCTGCCTTCCCCTTTATTGGCTGCTTGTGCAGAGCCTCAAGGTCAGCCAGGCATGAGACCTTAGTGACTTCTTAGGTGTTTCCTCAGTCTTTCTTATAGCCTTGCAGATTCCCAGGAATATGTCAGATTTTTTCAAAGTTCCTTGCAAAGATATCTTTCTCCATTTTTCTTTGTAAGTTTTTGGTCAGTGTCTTTGCTCCAGTTTTATCATCTCAGGCAGCTGCCATGTTAAACAGTTGCTGTGGATTCTTTTTGATCATGGCTTCAGGGAAAAGAGTCTCAACCACGAAGCATGCTGTGAATCAGGTCAAGTAAAACACTGTGAATGGGGATTCTGGAATATGCCAGACAGGTGAAATAATTACAGTTCTCTTAGAATGGGGATTTTTATGCTGCTCCACACTTGTTCAGCATCTCCCAGTGGCTTTAAGGCTGCTGGTTTTCAAACTGCCATGATTTGGGCTGTTGATTATTTAGCTAGTCAGTTGGAGATGGAAATAAGATACAGCAAAACAGTGAAAAGCTTGTTGTCCTTACCAAGATTAGCCATTTTTCTTGAAGAATGCTCCTTGGATTGTTGCAAGCCTTTGTTTTCAGAGCCTGAAAAACTTGATTTTGACAGATTTTTGCCAATGTTTTATTTGCTTCTTTGGAGGAACAGATTTTCAGGGGTTCTTATTCTGTCATTTTGAAGGGCTCCTTCCATGTTAGTTTTTATAATTGCAGTATTTTCTTGATGTGTTGGGAAGTATTAATGATATATTTTAAAAACTTCTCATTGCCTCTTCTTTCCTCTGTATTGTGATTTTGGAGTATGTATTTATTCATGTTGGTCTCTTTCACTTTAAAAACTTGGCTCGTGTGTCTTTGAATGCTTGGTTATCTGCTCATATTTAAGAGTAGTGGACTAAAAAGTCAATGAAAAGTTCTGAGTGTATGGATGGGTCTTGTTGATTGTGAACAGACTAGTATTTGCTTTTATGAAATTATTTTAATTTTTAAAATTAATTAATATTTGAGAGAGAGTCATGGGATTAGGAGGGAGAGGGAGAGAGAGAATCTTGTGCAGGTTCCACACCCAGCACAGAGCCAGACATGGGGCTCAATCTCATGACCCCGAGATCATGACCTGAGCTGAAATGAAGAGTTGGACGCCCGACCAAATGAGCCACTCAGGCGCCCCTAAATTTATAAGATATTCTAGGAAGGAATAATTAGATCTAGATCTTATAGTAAAATAAATGCCAGTTCGATTGAAAAGTTGAATATAAATTTTGAATTCAGAAAAACCAGGGGAAAATGGTATTGGTTACTTGTCAAAATTTAAATTTGAGATCCAGAGATTTAAAATGAAAAATGAAAGAAAAAAAAAGTTGGTGCCTTTCGAGAGTAATCCTTAGTATCCTTAGTTATATATGCAGTGTCTTTGAATGTATAAAACTCACCCTTTAAGGTTTGTGCAAATTTGTTGGTCCCAGAGAGGCATTTCATATTGCTGTGTTCAGAGCTAAAGGCAAAGAAGACACTCCTCAGGAATTCTTTGTTGGTGTTAGACTGTCCTGGTGTTAGAATGAGGCAGCTAGTGAGACAGATGTGTGAGTAGAGGGTGAGGCACACCTGCTTGAGGAAATTCTGAATTAAAGTGTAGTACCAAAAGTAGTAATCTGTTGTGCATTCTCATACCTAGTTGTTTGGGCCAGCTTGTGGGTAGCTTGTTGTAGGTGTGGGTAATGTGGCCCCAGTGAGTAGACATTGCCACAGCGAGAGCATCTGCAGACTCTCCCACAGTGGCCACTGAGAATGGTGACTACTCTAACCAACAATGGGTGAAATTCTTGCCTCTTGCAGGAATTTTAGGAACAGCCAAGGTGGGAGGGCTGCCTTGTTCCTAACTTGCAAACTTGCAGGCCTGCTCACATCAGAGGGTGTAGTTGTGACACAATAAAGTGGGAAGTTGGTCAGGGCATATGCCCTGGCAACCTGTGTAGTGACATTATTCACACGCTTTGTAAGCCACTGGAGATCTTTGGTGCTTTTAAGAGGGAAGGTGATGGAAACATCATAAGAATTTGATTCTGAGGCATTTTTTCCAGATCTTTTAGTAACCTCTGGATTTGAAAGTGAGTTTTACTCCTATCTGGTCCTGAGATGACAAGATTTTTGTAATTCAGTGCCATCTTTGATTCATTGGTAGTGGCTGCCTGGAGTGGCTTTGGGAAGGATTTTGAGGCTCCATCTGGGCTTTAGATGGAAAGATGGGCAAAAAAGATTGATATCTGCCATGGAACGAGAATGGGGGGGAAGGCAGTATTTCAGCTCCTTCATCCCCCTCACTTTACGTCTCCTTGCTGATGTGTACTTTTGGCTCCCCTCTTGCTTAGAATGTGACATTCTAAGAAGAAAAGAATGAAGTAGAAGCTTTAGAAGTTAAGAACGTTACACACTTATCCTCTGGCCAGCTCGGTGCTGGACTCAGTGAATGAACTGTGGATGAATGGAGGCCAGGATGTACCTAGTTTCCATAGTGAGGACAGAAACAGGATTCACGCAGGGATGTAACGCTCCTGCATGACATGGTATTTGATGAATACAGAACACCAGAAGTATATAGTTCCCATCCCTATCCCAAAGGAGAGTCCGTTGTAGTTGTGAAGAAAAGACAAACATGTTTGAACTAATTACAGCTTGTCTGACAGGACAGTTTATAAGCAAGTGCTAAAATTTTTAGTCTGGTCCTGGAAATGGGTGGTGTGGGTCTGAACGCAGAAGTACATTGCGTTGAGATTCTCATCCTTCACTATTATTCCACCGTGTCTGTGTTTTGCTTCAGAAAGCCTCGTTTTTTTCTTGACTTATTCTAGGCAAGATTAGCACCCCTGCACCCCATCCTACTCCCAGTTTTTCTCTCATTACTGGTGTCACTAGGGTGGAATGTTTTGACTGGTTAAGGAGTTTTGTTTCAATTTCAGTGTCAAGGTGACATTGATCCATTAACAGAAAATAAATGTAGATTTTTTTCAGCTAAAGAATCTAGTCACAGTGCTTGTTTCTGGAGAAATTATTTAGAGCATTTTTAGATTAAGCATAAGTCACAGGAAAGCCTTTATATTGTAATGTCAGTGGATTCTGAAAATCTTTATCCTAAGTGATCACCAGTCTGTGCTTAGACAGAAATAGGAAAAACATACGCTTTTCATAATGTATACATTTTGTGTAGAGCGGTCAACCATTTAATACAGTGCCTGAGATCCTGAGCTCTGGATTCTTACTCTCAGGGCTGCCATCTCCACCTGAACTCACCATGTTAGCTAGAGTAAGTTTTCTGGTTTCCTTGTCTATGAAATGGAGATGATAATAATCTTGCATATGGCTATTGTAAGGATTGAGATTTTTCAGAGAGAGTCCTAAGCCAGTGCTTAGTCTATAATAAGTGCTCGATTATTGTTGGATGTTATTAATGTTATTAATGTAGTTACTGTTTTTGTTATTAGGTGGGTTTGTATCCTTGATTTTTTTGTGGGGGGTGTGCCTCAACTTCACATTAGTGTTTTAACATAATTGACTGTAAATGGTGATAGTTAATAGTTTCTATATATACAAGTGTATTTTTTTTCCCATACAGGTTGAATGTAATTTTTACAAAATTTGATGAAGTCCAAAAATCTGGAAACATGATACAGTCAGCAAACGGTAAGTAGAAAAAGCAGTCTTTCTATTTTTGCCTTTTCAGTTTTAGGTCAGTAATATGCTAGGTCTGAACAGCTGAATTTGATATCTTGAGACAGTGTCTGAAGTCTTACCTCCATGTACCCACTTTCCCAGGCCAGAAACTGTGGTGTTGTTGCCGACTTTCTTTTGGAGCGCACACTGAACTCAGGAGCTTGGAGACCTGGGCAATTCTGACTGTAGCCGCCGCTCTGCTCCTAGTGCAAGTCCTTATAGTCTTTTACCTGTGCTCTCACGGTGGCCTTCTGACCAGCGTCCTTGCTGTTACTCTCCCCAAGTACCTACAGGCTGTTTTTCACACAACAATCAGAATAGTCCTTCCATTTTTATTATTTTTAAGTAAAAAAATTTTTTAAGTAGGTTCCACACCCAATGTGGAACTTGAACTCATGACCCTGGGATTGAGTCTCATGTTCTGTCCACTGTGGCAGCCAGGCACCCCTCAAGTAATCCTTTTCGGATATAACTCTTATGATGTTAATCCCCGGTTCAGAATCCTCCCGAGGTTTTCATCACATGGAGACTGCGGCTCAGTGGCTCACCCTGACCCACCAGGCCCTGCACATGATCTGATGCTGACCACCGTTCTCATGTCATCTGGTGTTCTTCCCCAGGGTTCTCTTGGCTCCCGTCCTGTTGACCTCCTTGCTAATTTTGAACATTCCAAGCTTCTGCTTCAGGGCCTCAGCGCTTATGATTCTTTCTGCTTGAAACATTTGTCCTCGGGGGTCTCTGTGGCTGTCCTCCTCCTCCTCCTCATTCCACCCAGACCTTGGCTGCACACACACCTTATTACCAAGGCCAGCCAGGATAGCACGTCTGACGTTCTAAGAGAACTCTGTGCCTTCATTCTGTTTAATGTTCTTTCTTACTGCGTATCACTGCAAAATAGTTTGTTTATTCATGGGGGCGAGGACATTGTATCATTCCCTTCTTTATCCTGAGTGCCTCAAGAGTCCCTGGCTTGTGGTATAGGTATGCAGTAAATATTGTCAAATAAATAAACAGAATAGTGACTGAGACTTGAATTGTGACTTAATGTTTCTGGTACTTATATTTCTTTTACTGTACTTTGTGATGATGGTTGAGGACAAGTGGTTATTTCTTGTGATTCCAGAAGGTGAAGAAAAGGCAAGTGAATTTGATGCATAAGTGTGTATGAATGTATGAGTAAAGTCCTCACAAAGCAGTTGCCACCAAGAACTTTTTCTAACTTCGGTTTTTGTTTTTTTTTTTTTAAAGATTTTATTTATTTATTTGACAGAGATCACAAGGAGGCAGAGAGGCAGAGAGAGAAGGGGAAGCAGGCTCCCTGCTGAGCAGACACACCCCCCACCCCACCGCCCTCCCTTAATGCAGGGCTGCATCCCAGGTCCCTGAGATCATGACCTGGGCCGAAGTCAGAGGCTTAACCCACTGAGCCACCCAGGCACCCCTTTTTCTAACTTTTGGATACCTCATTGCATCATAGCAATTTCTGAATTGCTAGGGATCTTAGATCACAGCATAGCTGTCAAATTTTGAAAACTTGAAGTCATAATAAAAGTTTTTCACTTGGGGGAATGTCACTGCTACTGCGTAGGGACCGAGCAGGGAACAGGATGTAGATCTTTAAGTCCTCCTCTCCTGTGTACCTGTCATTACCAGTAAGGAATTTGTCTGTATATTATGTTTCTTAGAGACTGATTAAAGAGTTCTACACAAGCTTTCACTAATCCCCCCTTATTTCTCTTCCATATGTTTATAAAAACAGAATACTAAAAGGGCAGAAAAAGTATTTACAGTAATTCTGCTATCACCAGTAAATCAGTGTTCATTTTTTCATACTCACTTAAAATTGATTTGTCTGTCACTGTATAATTTGTATATAATTTTATCATGGCATAACTTCTGTACATTGCCTCCTACTTTTTTTTAAGATTTTATTTTATTTTATTATTATTATTTTTAAAAGATTATTCATTTATTTATTTATCTGACAGAGATCACAAGTAGGCAGAGAGGCAGGCAGAGAGAGAGAGAGAGAGCAGAGAGCCCAATGTGGGGCTCGATCTCAGGACCCTGGGATCATGACCTGAGCTGAAGGCAGAGGCTTTAACCCACTGAGCCACCCAGGCGCCCCCAAGATTTTATTTTTAAGTCGTGTCTGTATCCAACATGGAATTCGATCTTAAAAGCCTGAGATCAAGTAACACACTCTAGTGCCTGAGCCAGCCAGGTGCCCCCTACTTGTATACATACTTTTATATGTGCTTTCCAGTGCATTCCTGGTAGAGTTAGAACCAGAGTCCTAGCCATGGGGGACTTACACTCCTCTGGTGAGCGGTGTTGATGGCGTACATGGGCAAGGCTGCCCAGCCAGTTGCCAGACATGAGCTTTTAATTCTGTGTCTGTGTGAATTTGTGTAGTTGGTGTGGTTTCCCAGTTTAAACCTTGGTACTTGTTGGTACCATGATAAAAAGTACAAGGTAAAGAGGTAGTGGTGGTGGCTGAAAAGTGAGTTTGTGCTTTATAGCCTGTGTTATAAATCATAACTATGAAACAGAATCTCATTATAATACTGGCACTGGGGAGGAGAAACACACCCATGCTGGAGGCCTTACCCAGGAGAGCCTTTGTATACTCTATGAGTTTTAATGAACACGACACACATGATTCAGTCAAGAGCACTAAAATCCTGTGGCTTTGGGTGTGTCACAACAACATTTCATTCTAAACCTTCCATGTGTTGTAAATATTGTCCCTCCATATCCATATATGTCTGTGTATGTGGTAAAGGGGTAGGATTGAGAATGAAGACAGTTCTTTCAGGCATCTGTGTTAAAAATAGCAGATGGCAGGAAATCTTGAATTAAGACTTAACTGGAGGCCTTTAAAATTTCAGCTTTTTGCTGTCTGTATGTAGTATTACTTTTTGATTGTTGGAACCAAAACAGAATCACGTAAAAGGGTATGTATTAAGATTTTAGAATTCTTAATCCAGATAAGTTTGGTCTCTCTATGGTAACTTTGAGAGACTGGTAAGATGTCCAGCAGCTGTCAAAAGAAAACCACCTACTCTCCTGCTTTGCTCAAGTCAGTGAACATTTAGATAGCATAGAGAAACCTCATTTGGAACATAATAAAACCCTCCTCTTTTTGGTTCACTGACTCCCAGTATAACCAGTTTTTGAACCCTGCACGTCAGACCACTGACTGCTCTACTTCTTCTCAGCTCTCCACGCTCTGCTGTCTTCAGTTTGCTGCTTATATAGGTACACTGTGACCTTTCTCAAGTTTCCCGTTAGTTCTTGGAGTTGTCATAGATTTCTCGGCATTTTCTGCATAGACAAATCATCTGCAACTAGGAGTAGTTTTATCTCTCTCAGATTTATGTATTACTTACTTTTTAAAAAGATTTTATTTACTTATTTGTTACAGAGAGAAATCACAAGTAGGCAGAGAGGCAGGCAGAGAGAGGAAGGGAAGAAGGCTCCCTGCTGAGCAGAGAGCCTGATGTGGGGGTTGATCCCAGGACCCTGAGATCATGACCTGAGCTGAAGGCAGAGGCTTAACCCACTGGGCCACCCAGGCGCCCCTACTTCTTTTCTTGCCTTATTGCACTGGCTAGAATTTCCTCTTCTACATAATTAGAGGTGGTGGGAGGAGCCCTCTGGTTCCCAGTCTTAGGTCTTTCACAACTAAGTGTGATGTTAATTGTACGTTTTTTGTAGATCTTCTTTAGCAAAATGTGAGGTAGTTCTCATCTATTCCTTTTTATCTAAATTTTTGTTAGAAGTGAGTGTTGGATTATTTTTGGGGGGGGGCAATTATCAGTGTATTTTAAATATTGAGATAAGTCTATACCAAAAATTTACTTTTTTTAAAGTGTTTAATTTTTTTGTGTGTGTATTCACAAAATTGTGCAATTATCTAATTCCAGGATATTTTTATCACCCCCAAAAAATACCTGTGATCATTAGCACTCCCAATTTCCTTCTCCTCCCAGTCCCTGGCAACCTACTTTGTTTCAAGGGATTTGCCTATTCAGGACATTTTATATAAATGGAATCACACAACATATGGCTTTTTCTGTATGGCTTCTTTCACTTAGCATAATGTTTTCAGGATTCACCCATGGGATAGCATGTATTAGAACTTCATTACTTTTTATAGCTGAATAATATTTCACCATTGTATGGATATACCTCCTTATGTTTACCCACTCATCAGTTCATAGACATTTGAGTTTCTACTTTTTAATTCTTGTGAACAGTGGTACCAGGAATATTTGAAAGTTTTTATGTGGAGATGTTTTCATTTCTCCCGTGTATATACCTTGCAGTAGAATGTTGGCTCCTGTGGTAACTCTGTATTTAACCTTTGCCTAACTGGCACCTTGTTTTCCAAGTGGCTGCACCATTTTACGTTCTCAACGACAATGTATGAAAGTTGTAATTTATTCATATTTACGTCAATACTTGTTATTGTCTGTTTCTTTGATTATAATCATCCTGGTGGGTGTGAAGTGTTGTCATTATGGTTTTGATTTGCATTTCCCTGATGACTAGTGATGTTGAGCATTTTTTCATGTGCTTGTTGGCCATTTTTAAATCCTCTTTAGAAAAATGTCTGTTGAGTTCCTTTGTCCTTTTTTTTTTTTTAAGGTTGTTTGTGTTATTTATTTATTTATTTATAAATTGAAGTATGGTTGGCACACAGTGTTACATTAGTTTCAGGTCCACAGCATAGTGATTCGACAACTCTGATGTTGTAGAGTGGCACCACCATCTGTCACCATACAGCACTTCTACAGTACCATTGACTGTATTCCTTATGCTGTACGTTTCATCCCCATGATTTATTCATTCTATAACTGGGAGCCCGAACCTTCCATTCCCCTTCACCCATTGGCCATTTTCCTACTCCCTGCTCCTCTGGCAACCATCAGTTTGTTCCCTATATGAGTCTGTTTCCTCTCTTT